GTTTTAATTTTGTTTATTCAATAAAAACTCATTCATTTAAATCAAATACGACTGCATTTATTCAATCATCAAAATACTAATAAAAGTGTTTATAAAATAAACCTAAATACCAAACACTTTTACATATGAATGTATATTTATTAGTTTTATAAGCTGTGACTATCTATATCTAGTATATTTCAGAATAATTATACATTTTTTCATATCATACTTGAAAAATTAATAAAATAATAAATTTTTATTTCAGAATATACTTATTATATACAATAAAATAATATTGAAAGGCATATAAATGGGCAGGTATCATGTAATCTTTGATAAAATACTTAATATGTTATATATTGATAGGTACACATGCAGACAATACACCTACTATGGTTATGAGATTGATAAATATTTTATCATTTAATAATAATACATATAAGTTACAATTTGATAATAACATGAATATTAAATAAATTTATTTTTATTATACTCATAAATAATTTTAATATTTTGATGTGGCTTTCTACTGAATTTTAGTTTTAATGTTAGATTTACAAATAGGAACCATCAGAGTACAGAATAAGTTTAAAACCTATAAGGACATTGATCACTTTGATCCTAGTTCAATATTTCATATCAAACACAGAATTATTAATTTGATAAAATAAAAGATAGTTTAAATTTTTATTGTAGTGGTGGTCGTATATTATCATCATATTACATGAGCAAAAGTACAGTATGAATTAACTTTAATTAATATATTTTAGTTATATACAATTAAACATAATTATATAATTAATCATATTTCAATAATCATATGTATAGTGAATTACTAATTGACCATCTTAAGGGTTAATTTAATAAAATATTTTGTACTAAAATATTACTTTAATTAATGCTGTTGGATAATGTTTAATTTCAATACAGTATATCATTTAAAAATTAATCAATAAATAATTTTATAGCAATTAAATAAATACTAATAATTTGTTGAAATAAAAAATAAAATTAAAAACAACCGTTTTAGTAATATAATTCAATTCTAGTACTTAACACATTTAGTAATAGTTATGATTAATTAATTGTCATTGCTCAATGAGAATATATTGCAAAAACACGTAGACATGTGAATAACAATAATAATATTAACAATTATAATTAATTCAATTAATTCCTTGTACTTTAAGTTTATATAACAAAAACTCCAAGACATACATGTAATCAGGGGTTACGTAATGAAACGATACTGTGCTTGAGCTACAACACTGCATACCCTATCAAATAAATAAATAATATAAAACATAATGTCATAACATTATTAATTTTGTTTTGATTAATAATTTAATAAAAATCTAATCATTAACTTACGGCTGAATAATTATAAGTGGCATAATTCTTAAGCCAGGCCTTTTTGTGATAGACAGTATCGTGGGGATTGAGCCAAGCGTCCGGTGCGAAGTGAAAAAACCTGGGCTCACCCAACGAGTCCCTATCATCGCCCATCACTGTCCCACTCCCCTCCAGACAACTGCATTTGCACCATGATCAAAATGTAATCAAACAAAAATCATAAGTAACATGATAAGTGGAGTGGCTTACGCTGCAAAATAGACATCATCAGGGCCCTTTTCCTCGCTTATATCGCAGTATTTTCTTTTGGTCTCAAACGATGTCACCAATCGGTTCACGGCTTCGGCGCTAAAAATCTAAATTTTAAATTATTTATTAAAACAAAAATATATGACCATAAAAAAGATTACATTTTACAACAAAAATTATTGTAAAAATACTAATATTGAAAAAATTATTCCCGTTTTAACAATAAACTTGCATGTTTTAAAAATAGTAATTATCATAATTGTTGGCATTTTACACTTACATATCCTGGACCTGAAAGAAATTGAATAAATTATTAGTAATATCTCAATATAAGTAATTTAAAAGTAAATTATATAACAAAAGCAATAAGAAACAACTAGAATAATATATCAAAAAATATATATCTGTTCGGCCAGAATGAGACGTACCTCTGAAAAATTGCTTTTATTTCTTATTGAAACATTGCTTTTGTGTAAAGTTTAAAATTTATAAGGTTTAATATAAGTAAATTTCAAACTTTACACAAAAGCAATGTTTCAATAAGAAATAAAAGCAATTTTTCAGAGGTACGTCTCATTCTGGCCGAACAGATATAACTAATTACCCCCGGTGAAAAAGGTAATATTTCTTATTGGTTCGTGAAATGCCTGTCCAAACCAAATGGCTTCCGACGGGTTATGTCCGGACACTAAATGTATTAAGTTTTCGATCACAACATACGTGTCGTCGTCGGCCTTAAAAAGCCAGTCATACGACCCGTTATAGCGCCGGTGGGCCTCAACGAGACCCTCACGATTCTTACACCATAGGTAGTCGTGATTCTCTATACTGCAATTGCTTTTGATTACATCCAGGCCCTCGTAGGTCTGGGAACTCACATACAATAAAGTGTCACATCTTTTACCCCACGTCTCGTTTACAGCGATTGCTTTCGTGTCATGATAATCAGGGGTTGTAGTCACCATACATAATAACCTGGGTCGTTGTAGCATACTATTTATAGCAGTATGTTGCGGAATGTCTAGGTCACTTTTGTTAGGTTTCATATATTCATTATAGTCATCGAGATTATCGTTAATGCCATCGGTTTGTAATATAAATAACTGTTGATTCTTATCGTTAATCAATACAAGTATTATAGACATCAACACCACAAATGAGATGATATTTAAAATTTTAAGCAATTTATGCATATTATTTCCGTTAAGTCTAAACATTTTATAAACTTTATAGTTTTTTAATTTAGACAATTCTTTATTTCATTAGTATTTTTGTAGTAAAAATATAATTGATTTTTGTTTTTTGAGTGCAATATTGTGTTATTATATTTTTATATTTTTTAAAATGACGTAAAAAGTTTATATGATTTATATTTTTGTTTTCAATGTGTTTATTAAATTGTGATACTAGTGCGTAAGTATTTTTGGCAAGAACAATTGCGAAATTAATTAAATGTATAATTTTATCCAGGTGGACAAAAAACGACAAATAATTAATTATCTGAAAATACAGTGCTAACCACTTATTATGTTACAAATTTGTATTTAATTTTTGAAAAAGGTATTTTAGTTACAACATATGAAATGGTATCAAACTGTAGCTTATTCATTAAACTTTCATTTGATATGTTATTTGACTATAAAAACACAAAAATATAAATATTTCAATAGTTTTTGTAAATCAGCTCTCAGAAAATCTTTCCATACACAATTTTTCAATTTTATATTTTAAAAATAGTTTTAAAGTTAATTTAGTCTAAATCTCGATGATATCTTTTAAATAAATATTAAAAGTATATTTTAAAACCATAAGAAATGATATATATGTTAAAAATGAATTATAAATTAAGTTTTAAGTTTGATGAAAATAGGCATTTTTCTCTATTTTTAACCTCCATTATAAAATACATAGGGGTTTCCCATGATGATTCACAAAAACTGTTGAAAATAATTTTATTTTTGTGTTTATGTTGTCAAATAACATATCAAATGAAAGATTAATAAATAATCTACAGTTTGATGGTGTTTTCAATGTTGTAACTAAAATACTTTTTTCAAAAATTAAATTCAAATTTGTAACATAATAAGTGGTTGGCACTGTATACTATTTTTGCTTGTTTTGTTTAAATGGTTTGTATACCTGATATTTATAACAAATATTTATTTTAAAAATATACTAATATTGTTTAAAATGTAATATTGTTAATATGCGATATATTGTATTATAGCAAATAACTAATATCATTACCCAGAGTTTATTTCAACTAATATTTAATGTTCCCAAAATATTATAATAACAAGTGATATGCATAATATTATTTTGATATTTCGTACATATTTAATAGATAATTCGTATATAAATAATAATTAATGCATAATAAAATAACAATTCATTAAATTAATTTAATATAAATAAAAATTCAGCGCTAAAATTTAAGTTTTAAATTGTTTTATTCATAAATGTACTATATATTGAATAATATTCAATGAATATTGTTTAAAGATAAAAGTACCGTGCAACAAAACTATAAGTAGCATGAAAACTTTTGTTTCATAATTGCACACTTTATTCATATCTAATTGTATTATTAATCTAATCATGGTATAACAAATTCTTGAAGTCAGCTCATAAAACATTAGTCATTAAATGTACCCTAACAAACTACACATGTCCCTAAATGTGCCATAATGTTAACTTATCCTGCACCTGTAATTGACAAGTAATTACACTGACCTAATATAAATCAATAGTACAGGGTATTGTGAAAAGTACAATGGGCTGGTACAAATAGGAATGTTTATAAACTACTGTATTAACTATTAATAGTTACTTGTTAAACTTTTAAAATGTGAAAATGGATTATTAAATATTTTATAAGGAGCTTTTTGAACAGAGACAAATTAAACTCATTTGATTTTTGATTTGTGTAGTAACGCAGTAAGTTATATTTCATAAAATAAATTTTTAAAAATTTAACTAATCGTTTGTATTTTTAATTTGAATTCACTGTATATAAATCTCTAATCTATGTAATCTCATTATTGGATATCTTTTTGTAGATAATATTCAGTATTATGTCATTGCAAACTTTCTAATAAATGCAACAATTACATTGTACTTGATATCTTATTTTATTTAATGTGATACTGTGAATTCTTAGATACTGTAATATAAATTACTATAATTATGTCAAATTGTATTAATACAGTATCTCTATTATTTACGGTATCACCAACTGTAGGTTAACTAAAGTAACATAGTTTTCGCTAATTAGATATTTTTAAATTTAGAGAAAAAAATTAATTTATAAAATTGTTCTTGACAAATCGAACTAACAATTCTAACGGATATTATTATTAATATACCCCTTTTGTAATTAAAACATCTCATACGTTTTATAAAAAATTTTTCAAAAAATTCTTTAACTATTTGAAACAATATAGACTATTTAAAAACATGACAACAGAGTAATTTTTATAAATAATATTACAGTGCATCGGTTTGTTTATTAAATTTTTTATAATTTAAATCCTTTATTAAATAATAATTATATAAATAACACAACAAAAACAGCATTAAATTTATTTGTTATTAGCTAACATATCAGATTTTGTATTTTTTAAAACTTTAAGTTTATACAATAAATACTCAAAAACATACATCATGTCCGGCGATATGTAATGAAATGCTATTGTAGTAGAGCTGCAACAATCGAGACCCTGGTGTTAGCGAATGTAATTAACAATTACAATTAATTTAAATTTTCAATAATTATCAACACTCTTAAATTTTCAAAAATAAATTATTACATTAATATACTTATAAGTGGCATAATCCTTTAACCATTAGAATTCGAATATGTATAAGAATAACCCTAAGTAGTACCAGAGCCCACTTTTTACTTTCTTGGAACCGAGTGGGTTGTGCAGGGCTCGTAGTGGTCCGTGATGTGGTGACGGGACTTCCGTGGACTGATTTAATATTATTATTATTAAATTGAATATTTAAGATTATAATTTTAAATTATATTTTATGTAAATTTATATGAATATATTCATTTAAGTTGAGCATGCTCAAAATAGTCATAAATATTAATTACACGGAGAAGTAGACGTCGTCGGGTCCCTCCTGTTTGCTAACATCGCAGTCCTTTCGCCGATTTTCAAATGATTTAATCAACCGATTCACGGCTTCCTTACTAAATACCTTGGTCATCATACATAAATATATATATAAATATATTTTTACCGTTACTTGTAGTTAACGATAATTATTTCACAAATTGAATTACTATAGTGACACTTATTATTATTAGATATAACCCTCATTATTAAATTATCAACGTATCTAATGCTTTAATATGATTCACCTTTTTAAAAATTAATTCATGGTATGCATTTAATCTATATGAATACCTTTTTATAGTTATGGAGCTATAATTAAAAGTAATTAACTTGTTATAACTCACATATCCAGCACCTAAAATAAATCATGAAATTGCAATAATTAATTAAAGTTAAATATAAACTAACAAAAGCTGAAAAATAATTAGTCTGACTAACTGACCTCCAGTAAAATAATATTGCTTATTATTTTTCCATGGTGTCCGGAAAGGCTGTCCAAACCACAGTGGGTCACTAGAATTATACCTGGACACAAAATCCACCAAATTCTCCATTTATCATATTCATAGTAGTAGGCGGAATATTTCGGTCAGTATTAGTAGTACCATGTTGAACACCTGGAGGAGTTATGGGACCGCTAAAAACGTGGTATTTATTAGCACCAATAGGAAAAACGTAAATGTTTCAATAATTGATAGACCAGGGTAGGACTTGGAGCTCACAAACTTTAATATATCACACCTGCGACCCCACGTGTCCCTTACAGCTATCGCTTTTGTACCTTGATTATTAATGGAAGTGGTCACCAGACATAATATTCGAGGTGGCGACCTAGGCACATTTACATCATCTGACCATGTTACATTCACTATCCAATTGGTTGTAGTTTCATTCAGTATAGATGATTGAGTTACATTATTATTAACTAGTGAGTTATTCGCTAATGGTTGTAAATCATTATTAATTTTATCTAGATGATTATGAGTATTATATCTCGGCGATTGACAAATGTTATAAATACACAGAAATAATACAAACAATAATATCACAAATAAATATAGTCTTGAGCATTTTATAAATCTCTGTAATAAATTAATATGAAATAAATTATTGTTTAGCATTTTGTGTGCAATTGAATGTTTTGAAATAGCATTTTAATGCTATTATAATGAGTGCACAAGTTTTGATTTTCATTATCTACAAATATGTTTACAATCAGTTGCTATAGAAAAATATATCTTTTATTTGCTATTTATTATTTTAAATGTTTTGAAATAGCATTTTAATGCTATTATAATGAGTGCACAAGTTTTGATTTTCATTATCTACAAATATGTTTACAATCAGTTGCTATAGAAAAATATATCTTTTATTTGCTATTTATTATTTTATATGACTTTTACTATTTTTTGATTTAATTAAGATAAGAGTGTACTTTCTTTATACAAAAAATTTAATATCTTAAAAATTAATTTCAAATTCTCTATGATTTTATGATAAGAAAATAGTTATAATAATTGAATAGATTCAAATTTGCATAACACATTAATGCACTTTAATAATTATGAACACAATAAAATATTTTGCTATAAAATTTTAAATTATTATTATATTATATATAATTATATTGTTGTACTTCATAATTAATAATAAAATGACAATAACTTACATGTTTTATACAATTTAATGGATTTCCTAATAGTTTATAATAATTCTTTTCGACATACATTTATAAAAATGTTTAAATATAATATGTTTATCAATCAGTTCCCAATTATTAGTAAATTATATTAATATGTATTAATATCTAGACTTATTATTATAGACATTTTAAATAAATAATATTTAATTACTTTTAATTTCAAATCATATTTATATAACTTATAAAATTAATATTTTTTATCTATGAGTTACAATATTATTATCAAATTCATTCCTTAATTGCACTTTTAATAATAAATATAAAATAACTTTATATATGTTACAATACCTATTGTAAATTAAGAGATATTTAATCAGGATCAAGGATCCAAGATAAGTAAGTTATGATGACTATAACACAATTAATAATTGTGGTGATATTTAATCAATAAAAGCTGTTATACAAAACTATAATCTAGGCTCATGTTAGTACGGAATATTCAATATTGACACAATTGCTATAATATTCTAATATTATACTGTATTTTATGTAACATTTTCACTTTATATAAAAGTACGTATATTTATGTTTATTATTATATAACAAATGTTGCTACTTATTTAGTAGTTGATAAGTGATGATTATTGGATTAGACTTTGGTAAAACATATAAAACATAATGTTATTTTAACACAATAGGATATGGTGAATCATTTTTACCCTTAACTAAATTTTTATAGCATATTGAAATCTAATGATAATGTATAATCGATATTTATTGTGTGAAATAATAGAAATCTAGTTTTAAAAATAGTATTCAACATTTTATAACAAATCGTATTAATTACATAAACAATTATAAAATATTTTTTATATCCGGTATGAACAGATAAAGTTGATTGAACAAATACAGTATATTTAATAATTATAAAACATCACCAATATAAAAAAATTCACATTTACACGACCCGTAACTTATATATCAGGTACTCCATGACATACATGGCATCGGGCTTTATGTAGTGAAAGGATATGGCGGTTGAACTGCAACACTTCATACCCTGATCATTAAAACTAAAAATAAATACACAATATAATATTTAGCTTGTTAATAATAGTGGCTTACGGCTGAATAATTATAAGTTTGATATTTTTTCATGGGAGCCCATCGTTCGTATATAGTTTTATATGGATTTAACCAATACTCGGGCTCAAAATGAAAGAACCTTGGTTCACCTAATTCATCCCTTGCATCGCCCACTACTACACCACTGCCCTTCAAACAACTAAATAAAAAATAATATATTATAATATTATAAATGTCAATATAATTCTAGCGTATACTGTAATACAATACATATTATCATGATCATCATGAAATCTTAATTTAATAAAATGATTTTAGTAATTTCTAATTATTAAGCTTAGTGTTTAGATAGTATCACAAAACTTAACTACCTTGCCACATATACATCATCAGGGCCCGTTTCTTGACTTTGATTACAATTGGTTTTGTTCATACGAAATGATGCCACCAATCGGTCTACAGTTTCTTTGCTTAATATCTACTTTCCAGGGAAAGGGAAAGGTAGCTCACCATAAATAAATTGTTAATTAAATATTGTTGAGATACTTTAGCAGTAAATAAATCGCTTACATATCCAGGACCTTTAATAACAAAATTAAATTCAAATGTTATTATTTATACAAGCAATTATATAATAACCTCCACTAAAATATGTCAATCGCTTTGAGGGGTTGAACGGCTGTCCAAACCAAATGGGATCAGTAGGTCTGTACTGACTGACCAAATGCGCCAAATTCTCGACCACTACGTAGGCGTCGTCGTCCACCTTAAACANAGGGGTTGAACGGCTGTCCAAACCAAATGGGATCAGTAGGTCTGTACTGACTGACCAAATGCGCCAAATTCTCGACCACTACGTAGGCGTCGTCGTCCACCTTAAACAGCCAGTCATACTGTCCATCGTAGCGCCGATAGACTTCCACAATTCCTTGTCGATTCTTGCACCATAAATGAGCATGGTCATCGCGGGTGCAATTACTTTGAATGACATTTAGACCTGGATAAGTCTGTGAACTCACAAATACCAATATATGGCACCTCCGGCCCCACGTCTCATTTACTGCCACCGCTTTTGTGGCCGCGTTTGTAGGACTGGTAGTCACTAAACATAATATCCGGGGTCCATCCATATGACCAGGTTCAATAAATTGTGAATTTATATAGTGATCCTTATTAGCATTTAATTTGAAATCGAGTAGAAGTTTATTGTATTGCTTTAATTGTAATATTTGTTTATTTTGCGTGTCTATAATAATCACAATAATTGTGATGATTATAAAAAATGCAACGATTTTTATAAAATGCAAATTATTCTGTAAATAATTGCAATAATTTTAAATACTTTTATTTTTTCCTTTTATTTTATTAGTTTTATATCTGTTGACTTACTTGCATATATAGTGGAAAATGTACCATTCTTATATACCGTAATCTTAAATCATATTAAAACAATATTTTCATTACATTATTAACTTATTTTATGTAATATACTAAATTGTAAGATCTTGAATAGGCATTAACATACTGTATAGTGTATACTGTATGTATGACTGAGACTCGAAGTGTGCTAACTCTTAATTCAATACTACAGTAGACTATGATTTAGGCTATAGACTAATACATTGTGAACAATGTAATTAATAAGCGACTTTAGTTTAAACACTTTATAATACATATGTTATACGAGTCTCAGTCATACATATGTTATTTAACAAGTTTTCCATTTTAAGTTTTATTTTATGATTATTTACTTATTTTTAAATTTAAATTACAAACTTGTAATACAGAATAAATATTTTTTATTTAATGATATACTTATTAGTTTAATAAATTAGTGTACGGTCTAACACATTTATACGAATTCTTATAAAATTATAATTTGTAATCATTAAAATAATTTCTAATTAAACCAAATAATTATCATACTTTTAATATCACAAAAATAATAATTTAAATGTAAAATAAATTATTTTATTATATTCAATATTCAACTAACTGCCACTAATATATTATTTCTGTTTTAGTAAAATTGTTGATTTCAATTGATAACATTTACAGTTTTAAAATAATCTAATTAAATAATAAATGTTGTTATAATGAAAAATCACACTGGACTCATTTAATTTAAATTAAACCAAAAATCCCTGTCCCGTACATGTGGTCTGTGCATTACGTTCAAATACCTCATAAGCACCGGTAGCTGATGTAAGTTCACTGATATTAACCTGATCCACGAAAAAGTGATCACTGAATGAAGTTACGTATGAATGGTCCAACACTGATGAACACCGCGACAAATAGGAGTTCCTATGCCACACAATCTTATCAAACATGTATTTCCCAGCTAAGGGACCTGGACCATTGGCCACAAAGTATAAATTTTGGAAATTCATCAAGTCTATTTGTAATCCAAAAATAACAATATAATTTTTATGATGTAAATCTTATACATGTCAATATAATCTAGTTACCTCCTTGTGGGAATTTAGTCCTTATAAGCGATATCATTTCGTAGACATAAGTTTGAGCCGGGTTATTATGGTGTGATTGGGATATTAAATACACATACAATACTTTAAACCCTTGCAATGAACACTGGGTGTTACTCGTGTATCGCGCTATTATTGTATAGTTTTGAGCGCCATCTGTACCCACACACCCATTGATGTCTGTACGTATGAGACCAGTTAAACTTAAAACTAAAAATATTAAAATTATTATTATATATTGCTTAATTTACTAAAATATAAATATTTTACCTGGATTGGTTACGGCATTTGTGAATAATTTGTCTAAATTAACAATTTATTATTCATAAATAACATTTTAACAATACCCGCGTGTATACTCACCGCATGAAATAATAATAAAAAATAACAAAGTAGAAATATATTTTAGGAACATCCTAGTTGTTTTTTATTTTTGAAAAGTTTAAAAATAAAGGAACTTTAAACCAGATTCTACATTTAGTTTTATACATTTGAGAAAAACAAATTTTTCATAGTTTAATAAACTAATTAATGACATATTATGTTGATTTTAATTGATAACATTTACAGTTTTAAAATAATCTAATTAAATAATAAAAGTTGTTATAATGAAAATCACACTGGACTGATTTAATTTAAATTAAACCAAAAATCCCTGTCCCGTACATGTGGTCTGTGCATTACGTTCAAATACCCCATAGGCACCGGTAGCTGATGGGGTACCGTAAGGTGATGTAAGTTCACTGATATCTACCTGATCCACGAAAAAGGCCACAAACTCTATTAAAGTTACGTATGAATAGCCTAACACTGATGAACACCGCGACAAATAGGAGTTCCTATGCCACACAATCTTATCAAACATGAATTTCCCAGCTAAGGGACCTGGACCATTGGCCACAAAGTATAAATTTTGGAAATTCATCAAGTCTATTTGTAATCCAAAAATAACAATATAATTTTTATAATGTAAATCTTATGCATGTCAATATAATCTAGTTACCTCCTTGTGGGAATTTAGACCTTATAAACGAGATCATTTCGTAAACATAAGTTTGAGCCGGGTTATTATGGTGTGATTGGGATATTAAATACACATACAATACTTTAAACCCTTGCATTGAACACTGGGTGTCACTCGTGTATCGCGCTATTAATGTATAGTTTTGAGCGCCATCTGTACCCACACACCCATTGATGTCTATACGTATGAGACCAGTTAAACTTAAACCTAAAAATATTAACATTATTATTATATATTGCTTAATTTACCAAAATATAAATATTTTACCTGGATTGTTTACGGCATTTGTGAATAATTTATCTAAATTAACAATTTATTATTCATAAATAACATTTTAAAAACCCGCGTGTATACTCACCGCCTGAAATAATAATAAAAAATAACAAAGTAGAAATATATTTTAGGAACATCCTAGTTGTTTTTTATTTTTGAAAAGTTTAAAAATAAAGCAAATTTAAACCAGAATCTATATTTAGATCTATATTTAGACATTTGAGAAAAACAAATTTTCAATAGTTCAATAAACTAATTAATGACATATTATGGAAACTTTTATACAATTAATTGCAACATTTATTGGAAAATAAACGTACATAAATATAAACCTAGCAAAATTTCAAATTTCAAAATTACATTTATAAACAAAATAGAATTACTACTTATCTAGAACCTTTTCACCCACGTTAATCTCCCCGTTCATTGCACCCCAGTTAGCATAGCAATAGCCATCATCATAACGGATACATTGGGCACATCTGAGCACAAAATCCAATTCATAGGCAATTTTCTGGTCATTTTGTGCGTAAAAATCTTCGTTCAAAGTGTTGATAGTCTCCCGAAAACCAGTCATACATTCCTCGGGCGGCGGACACAATGCGCACGGATTGAAGTGTTTGTTCCCATCCCTCGGCCCCTCCATTGACTCAACAAACTCTTTATTATACAGAATATTCTGCTGACGATTCTGTGATAAGTCCAATGGATTGAACTGTAGGTTGCGATTCAGTGGGTCTGGACTACCGGTGCTAGTCTTGGGCAGTGATCTGATGTCTACGGCTTCCAGACCCGAGTTATCCTGAGTTTCATACGAAGTAATGGATATCTTATTGTCCGGTGCGATGTCTATGTTGATGGGACTTGTAGCACACGTACCGATGAGCACAGGTATGGCTATTGCTAGAAATGACTGAATAACCATAGTATCTTGGTGATAATTTATTATTTATGAATATTATTTTAAAAATAATTTAATTTAATTTTTTTGAAAACTTTAAATAATATTAGATTAATTGCGTAAATTAGATACTACTGTATTTGCTAACTTGTATATCAAGGCTACTTTAATCTGTAATTTTCATAGAAAATTTAGGTTTAATTATGATCTAGATTATCCATAATTATAGTAAAATAAAATATGTTAAATTTATGTCATATTACAGTATTAGTCTTAATATGTTATTATATAAATACATTTATACTATAAACATAAATACAGTATTATATTTTATATTTAATTAAACTCTTAAAATAAATACAATTAATTATTTAAATCTCATTAATTAAACTGATTCTTGATTACTAATTTAAATGATTTTTATAAAAGCATTTTTATATAGAATTAAACGTTGAATAAGTTTGTGGTTGATTGTGGTCATCATAAATTAAATTCGTATTTTCAGTTAATTTCTTATTTATAATGTTACCAGATCTGCTACTGGTGCAATGTAATTTATTTTGCATTAGATTTGCGTTAGAATATCTACCATGCTGTTGTCGCTTAATCCGAGCACATATTCGGTATACCATAACTACCAATACTGTAATTATTAACAACATACAACTAACAAAGCTATTACGCTCATAATCATCCTGGCACAACTTACATTTATACGAATCGAATAAGTCATCATTAATATAACAATAACACTCGCCATCACTTTTATAGCAATTCTTATTCACTTTGCATCTAGCACATTCTGTGGTATATTTACAAGCACTTGGTTGACATTTATATGTGCCTGGTATTAATTCATAGTTACCGTTGCACTTACAACTACCCAAACCCCAATTACAGTGTACAGCATCCAGTCCATTTACCTCATCCACGCAATCAGTATGTCGGTCGCAACTAATTTCAAGCTTAACCCTCACACAAATATCATGGTTATCAGGGTTAGGCGCGTAACCGTATTGACAAGCACATTTATTTTTATTACAAACCGTATTTGGATCGTACCATTGACAATCACTGTTTGAATAGCACTGGTACTTGTTGTCACAGCTTTTATTATACCTTGCGTATACATGATTAGACGGGCACTTGCAAAGACCAGTGCCACAAAAGGGTTTTGGGTCGACGCTATCATATCGCTGACAATCTCTATCGGATGCACATAACTGATAGTCTATTAGTCGACACATATAGCCATCCCTGTCCTCATAACCCTCACGACAAACACAAAAGTGACCCGAATAACAAACCCTATTCTCATCATACGATTGACACTCACTGTCAGTATTGCACTGAAAATATTCACAAATTTTGTTATATTTATTATATTTATAATCAGCTGGGCACCGGCAATAATGGTTATAGCAAATAGATCTTGGTTCAATA